GCTATGAGTCAGAACTGACTTGAAGGCACTTAACAACAACAACAACGTGATGGCTGGAAGTGCGGTTGCCTTGGCAGGGCCAGACCAAATTACGCTGTGGGTTAGTGAGCTGGACTGCAAAGTAGGTTTGAACCTCAAAGTTGGTGGATCAAGCTCTTCAGCCGCTCCTCGGAAACCTTGTGCAGGGTCGTTATGGGTTGAAACCAACTTGATGGAACTTAACAACAATAACATATGGCTCACGGGCCGGACAGTCCCCACCCCTGCTATAAAAGAAGGGGCTTGGAAAAGCTCATCAGGGGCAGTGGTGTTTCACTGGTAGAATTTTCACCTCTAACTTATGTGGGAGATCCGGGTTCATTCAGTTCCTGGCCAGTGTTCCTCAGGAGCAGCTTTTACTTACCTGTTATTGAAGGTTTAGGAGGTGCTGTGATGCTTAACAAGGAGTTCTGGTAGCGTAGTGGTTACGAATCAGACTGCTAACCTCAAGGTCGGCAGGTCGAAACTACCAGCAGTTCCTCGGGAGAAAGATGAGGCATTCTGCTCCCGTAAAGATTTACAGTCTCGGAAACCCTGTACAGAGTCACTATGAGTCGGAACTGACTCCACAGAATTTAGCAACAACATGATGCATAACGGAGTCCTGGTGTGGCACTGTGGGTTAATCGCTGGACTGCAAAGTCAGTTTGAACTGCAAGGTGGATGTGTAAGCTCACCCAGTCGCTCCTTGGAAACACTATACAGGGTCGCTATGGATCGGAACCAATTTGACAGCTCTTAACAAGAACAATAATGAGGATGCTGAACAGGCATCAGCAAAGCTTCTAATTTGAGATAGACTAAGAATAAAGACCTGACAGTCCAGTTCCAAAAATCAGCCAATGAAAACTCCAGGAGTCACATGGTCCTATCTGCAGCTGATTATGGGGATGGTGACATATTTTGTCCCATTGTGCATGGGGTTGTCATGAGTTGGGCTGACTTGGTGGCAGCTAAGAACGGTAGGCCAGCTTAATTTTTCAGTTGTAAAAATGTTTGTTCTATACAAAAAAGATTACAGTATGAAATAAAGGGGCGGGAGCAATTGTCGAACATTGGGGGCCGACCTGGAACACCATGGGCTAAATGGGGATCCACCACATGTATTTATTTGCAAGGCAGCATGGCAGTCAAAACCCAAATGTGGTTTGGTTTATTATTGAAAAGCGTGTCAAGAGTTTTGGAGTGACTTCAGACCAAGGTTGAAAACTCATGGTCAAGGTTGTCATTCTGCAGTCGCCAGAGAAATCCATGACTGCTGAGGATTGTTCCTGGAACAGCAGACTCACGTCTGTCTTTATTTACTTAAGAGAAGGCTACAAGCAGAATGGAGCAAACTGCCAAGTGATGCTCTGCATGAAGAACAGAAGAACAGATGAGTAAAATGCTTGGAGTTGGAATCATCTCTGTTGCAGACGATTCTAATTGTCCATGGTCTTTTCATTCGCTGTAAACTTTGTTGGGAAGAAGCACTCTCATTACCAAGAAAACAGGGAACTAATTTAATAATACCCAGAAACTGAAGAGTCACTTTAGAGAAGGGTGGGGTCCATTTGGCGATGTACTTGAGTGGGCTTACTACTCTCAAGGAGGAGAATGGCTGTATCTTAAGTAATTCTCATGTATATTTTATCTCCAGTGTATATTGTAACCCTTCCTCCACTGAGTGTATTGCTTCTGCTTCATTTAGCCCATTAGCCAATGAATATCTGAAATCCAGGCTGTTTTCTCCCTGGCTGGGAGATGGGACTCTTAGCAGTTAAGAGATTATCACATGTGTTGATCCCCAATAGACCGTCCATCCGAGAAGCTGAGTTATCATTAAGGCCAGTGAGTTCTATTACAATTTTTCTCTAAAAAACATCTCGCTCTATGACTCCAGCTATTTGCAACAATTGATATTGATAGGACTTTTTGTTTATCCTTTTAACGTGATTGATTGATCTTGGGTCAATACATTTTCTGCTGATTCCTAAAGTTTATTTTCTCCGGGATGCAAACTTTACTTTCTAGAAACATGTCTCTGTTTTTGGAAGAAAAAGAAATCAGCAAGGGAACAAGTGTTAGTGGTATAAATAGTTCACTGGAAGGGTCATGATTTTAAGGAACTGATGTGCATGAAGAGTCGGCTGTGAGGCAAGTCGGCTGCGAGATACCGGAAGGCTTCTTCTTTTAATCCTTAGGATACCCCAATGTTATGGGGGTGATCTTCATTTTACACTCATGAATTTTGTCCTAGATTACACAGTTTGAGCTGTCCAAACAGGATTTGGAACCTGGGTCTGTCTGAAGTGACATTCCATGGTTCCCCCTGAAGCGTCTGAGGGCGCAGCTGTATGGTCACTTCCTTCTTCGGGCAAGTAGCCAGGCTGTTAGTTGGAGTTCCTTTCCTCTCCTCCCCTTTTGTCAGGAGGCTTTTAAAGCATCTTGATTCAGGGGTGCATCATTTGTTTGCTCTGTACACCAAGACGTGAGAACACTTGATGGGACTCATCAAAATGCCATTGTTGTTGTTAGGTTTCCCAGAGCCGTTTTCTAGCCTGTGATAATATTATTGTATTTTTCTTTTATCTTTTTATTATGAATTGGGTGATGGTTTATAGAGCAAATAAGTTTTCTATTCCACAATTCATGCACATTTTGTTTCATCTCATCAGCGGCATTCTCCACAATGCCAACTATCCCACTTCCTCCCCGTGTTTCTCCATTTCCATTCTTCCTTCCCTAACCCTTCTGAACTTTGTCATTAGGTAAATGCTGCACTTCTGATCTCAAATGAGTGCATTTTCTAAGGTGTATGTACTTCTGTAGTGTTATTGTACCTCTTTCAACCTGTCTGTTGTTGGACTGAAAATTCTGCCTTGGGAGTTGAGTTCATTTCCAGACCTGAAGGGTGACTAGGGGTCATAGGTTTGGAGGTTCCACCAGTCTTGATCTGACCAATAAGCCTGGTCTTTTTAAAAATGATTTTAAGTTTTGTTCCATATTTTTTCTCACTCTATCCAGGACTTCTTACTGTGATCTACTCCAGAACAGTTGGTAGTGCAGCTGGGCACCATCCAATCCTTCTGGTCTCAGCATTGTGGGCTGATGTGGAGTCCATTAGTTCATTAGTTCACTGAACTAATTGTTTCCATGTATCTTTAATTTTCTGCACTTTTCTTTGTTCCGGACGGGGAGGGACCAATAGTTGCAGCTTCTTGTTGTTAAGTGCCATTGAGTCGGTTCCGACTCATAGGGACCTTGTATAGGGTTTCCCAGGAGCGGCTGGGTGGTTTGAACTGCTGACTTTGTGGTTAGCAATCCAGTGCGTATCCTCCAGTGCCACGCCAGGACTCGGTTGTATTTAGTAGACTGTAATCTTGACAGGTACAGATTACCAGATCTTTCTCCCTCTCCTCTCAAAAAGCCACTGGTTGAGTTCGAACCTCCAGCCTCCCAGTCAGCAGCTGAATGCTTAGCTGTTGTGTGACCTTGGGTCCTTGTCACCAAGATTAATGATGTTTTATGTAATATTTTACAAAAATAAATAAATGAAGGCAAAACGACCTGTAATAAGCAAAATTTCAGAATTAGAAGTTAAGATAGAGTTAGTAACAATGTGGCATGCCATGGGTCTTAGAGGATAAACACTGAACTCAGATCACAAAGTTAGTGATTTGAGCCCACCCACAAGCCATGCGCGCTGTGGGAGAAAGATGAGGCTTTCTGCTCCTGAAAAAAAAAATTACAAGCCTCAGAAGCCCTCTACAGGGTCACTGTGAATCAGAACCAACTCAAGGGCACTTCACAACAACAAATTAATGATGTGATGTGGAACCTTTTTGGAGCCTGAGATAGCAAAGGGGGGAAATCAGTATACTTATATTTATTTAAAATGTCAGTGTCCTATTCATCACATCGTGGATTTCTTTTTTTTTTTTTTTAAGTTTGTATTATGAATTGAGTGATAGTTTATATGGGAGAACCTCAGTTTTACATTCATCGCTTCATTGTAATGAGTACTATTCTCCTCCATGCATCATTATTCAACAGCATTTGCTTCTATTCACTCTGGTTTTTTGTTGTCATTGTTATATGTTTTGGGGGATGTACACAAAAACACTCAGGAGTATATAATCCTTTAAACAACCAAAGGGCACATTCTGCAAACTTGCCTCCTGGCTGGCACAGCCTTTCTCTTCCCATGAGTCTAGAGTTCTTTCTTCCTCTCTCCATGTCATCACCTCTGCCTCCACTCTGGATAAGGTCCTGCATTCCACTCATGCTCTTCTCCCTTGATGGTCCTAGGGTCCTCTGTTCCTGGACAGTAAGATTAACTACTCCCCCCTTTTTGTTATAAAACTTCTACATTTACAGTTGTGACAGTCATATCGTGGATTAAAAATAATAACAATAATTGCAAACAAATTTAATTTATCTTGATGCCTGAGTTGTCTTGGCAACCCGTTTAAATTTTGCACCTGAGGCAAGTGCCTCACCTGGTCCAGATCCTGGTCCAGGTTAACACTTCAGTTTATGTTCCAGGCAGTGAGTGAGGTGCTGGGGATACAAGAACTTACACAAGAGCCTTCAGACTAGGAGGAGTCGGTCATTCAAACGAGGCACAACGGTTATCCTGAGACTGTGCACTGTGTGTCATATGACCTTGTTCAGTCCCCTGGGAGAAAACTTGAGTGATACTTAGGCTGCCTGGGAGCAGGCCAGAGGATACATGGATGGGCTGGGCTCCACCAAAGGATGGATGGAGAGTATCAAGGGAATGACCAGCTGCTTTATTGCTCTGAGCCTCAGTTTTCCTCATCTGTAAAATGGATGAGATGTAAGGCTGCCTCATGGGGTTGTTGAGCAGATGAGGGTCAGTTAGTTGTGATGGCAGTGCTGTTGAGGACCCTGTACACAGACGTTATTATACAGCAGTATCTTTGGGCCACATAACCAGTCTGACCTTTGTTTTGCAGACATTCACGACGGGGATGGGAGCTCCAGTAGCAGCCACCAGAACCTTAAAAGCACAACCAAGTGGGCAGCCTCCCTGGAGAATCTGCTTGAAGACCCAGAAGGCGTGAAGAGATTTAGGGTTTGCCCTTTTCATTGTTGACCGGGAACTGATGGAGAGCGTGAGGTGGTTTAGAAGAGTATAGGGGGGTGGGGCAGGGGGAAATTGGGCCCATGTTCAATACTGTCCTCACTTGGAAAGTCACTGGGTGGCACATACAGTTCGCACTCAACTACTAGCTTAAAAGTTGGTGGTGTGAGCAGCATCAAGGAAGAAAGTCCTGGTGGTCATTTTTCTTGACAATTACAGCCAAGAAAGCCCTATGGGGCAGTTCTGCCCTGTAAGACATGGGGTTGTCATGAGTCAGAATCGACTTAACAGCAGTGGGGTTGGTTTTTGATTTGGCCCCACTTTGAGAGCGAAGACTACCCATCTGCCGTTACCAAGGTGGGCTAACCCCAAGGGGCATACAATCTGTTACCAGTTTGGAGAGGTGAGCGTGATGGAAAAAGACGAAGTTCGTAGGCGACCTGTTTGTTAGAGGAATTCCAGTGCTGGGAAGGGCCAGTCTGCAGCTATTTGATCTGAAGTTTTGCTATCATGTGCTTCGGGGATTCTTAGGGTGCCATTAACCACAGAGGAAGAGAGCTGGGCAAAGCAGAGAGGAGGCCGAGGGCTGGGGAAGTGTCTGGAAATAACCGTTCAGCCCAGCAGAAACCCCAGGAGAACCACAGGCAAATTTCAATGATGTTTTGAGTCCCACCAACCTCTGTTGGGTCAGGCCAGGGTAACCCTAATGCTGACAGTCTCCAGAGAGGGGGTAGTGGGCAGGACCAGGGACCCTAACATTCCTAGACATGGGGCTGTTGTAAATCTCGGGGTACAAAGGGAGAGCAGCTAGGGCCAACTCCCCAACATCTGCCAAGAGAAAACAAACTACGAGTCGACTGTCATTTTCATTATGGCATTTTTAGAAATGTTTAATACATTTTCTTCTGTTAAAAAACACACACATACACAAAAGAAAAAAACCCAAGAGTCTGATTTTCAAGGAATGTCCTTTGTTTAAACACTGTCTGGGAGGAATTAATTTATCTTCCGTTGTGATTTACTTTTTAGTAATTTATTGTCAGCTAGAATTGTTAGTGGAGTCTTGTTTCATTTTCATTTCCTGAAGATGTCAAATGCATGTGGGATTCTGGCTTTAACATTAAACATGCACTCTGCTATACAGGGTGGGATTTTTAAAGGTTAATTGAGCCATGCTTAATTGCCAGATTTTTCCAAATCAGTGTTTTGTGACATTGACCACAATCCCCACAATGTTAACAGCACTCTTCTGACTTCCTCCCTATGTTCACCATTTCCCTTTGTCCTTCTTCCCTCTTCCTTCCTGTCTCCTGTGAGCTTTATGCCTGGACAAATGCTCCCTTTTGATCTCACATGGTTGATTATTCCAAGGAGTGTGTACTTCCTTCGTGTTTTGTGTAATTTATAAACCTATCTATCGGATGACTGGAAGTTGAGTGATGGGTAAACCCAATTCCAGATTTGATGAGTGTCTAAGGGTCATAGTCTTGGGGGAAACAAGAAAAACACATTTTTTAAAGGCGTTTTACTGTGTGCTATTTTTCTTTTACCTATAGGAGTTTTTAAAAAAGGAATTCAGTGAAGAAAATGTTTTGTTTTGGCTAGCATGTGAAGATTTTAAGAAAATACAAGATAAAAAACAGGTATGCCTTCGATTCTGTAATCATTGTCTTGATTTGTTGTTTTTCTCCTTTATAAAGTTACAACTGCTTTTCCAGTAGATTCTGACATTGCCTGAAGAAATCTGGTTCACACTGGACTTGGAAGGAGGTTTAAGTTTCAGGCTGGATATCTTGTGTTGGTCAAGTAATTATTTTAAAAACATTGTGTGAATCTTTTTAAAATAATGGACAAGTATTTTAAATAAAAATAACGATTTATGTCATCTAGAGTTTATCACTGCCCCCGATGCTTTCTTTTCCTCATGAATAAGTTATGAGGGTGTTTCCCCTAGAGTTTGCTGTGTTGGCATTTTGTACGGAGGTAGGGAAACGCTAAGTGGATGTGTCGGGATAAAAAGCACATGTGCGTCAGATGGATTGTCAGTTATTCAATATTTCCTTACCAAATTCTCCGTGGTTGGCAGACACTCTGCTTGGATGTTTCTGTTCTCCTGGGTAGATGTGTCTTTGTGGAAGTAGCCGATACCAGCTTTGTGTCAGTTTCTGTATATGGCAGCTGGAGTCTCCATCATTGAAGACTGGGTGAGATGAGGATGATGGATTGAGTGTGTTTATAAGATGCATGTCTGTGTCTTTATAAGAGGTTACCAGCTACAGGGGCCAGGTTGTTGTTGTTGAGTGACGTTGAGTTGGTTCTTACTCATAGTCACTGTATAGGGTTTCTAAGGAGCAGCTGGTAGGTTTGAACTGCCGACCTCCTGGTTAGCAGTCTAGTGCTGATCCTATAGTGCCACACGAGGAGTCCTGGACGCAGTATGAGTGAGTAAGGATTCTGAAGGAAGGCAGGAGGGCCAGTGAACATGGTCTCTGAGATGTTCCAGATGTTTCCTGCTTCAAGTTCTGCCTTCCCCAAGTCACTGATGGCAGTAGTTTCTTGGGTCTCTCCCTTGACCACTTTTGCTCTAAGGGCCCTTTCTTCCATCTTCAGCCCAGGACTGCCTGCTTGTTTTTTTCAGAGAAGCCAGGCATTTGAATTCTTCTGTGGAACTGTCTGATTTTCAAATGTTGGAACTACATTTTGAGAAAGTTCAAACCTTGCCTGCCAAACCAAGCACAGCGCCGGCAGATGTGGCTTGTGGCAGCCAGGCTAGAGTCTCTACACAGTGTCTCCAAAAGCTGGAATCCAAGAGGCCAGCTGTTGTCAAACCTTTGCAGGCAGCCGCTGGGAGAATGTATATCCTGGCTTCCTCAGAGGCTCTGCAGATGCAGACACAAGTCCCCCACATTGGGGCCGTGGGACCGTCCTGCTGCCTTTGACGCAGTCAGTGGACTCCTGTAAGCTTGGGTTTCCTGGTGGGCCTGGAAACCCTGGCTCTTGGCTTTACTTCCCTTTGGATCCTTCTCCTTTCAGGTTAAACGGCTTGAGTCTATTGGAGGGTGGATTATCTCTGGTGTGTGTGTGTGTGTGTGTGTGTTTGTGTTTGAGAGAGAGAAAGAGAGGACAGTGGGAGGTCCTTCTCTGGAAAGCTGTGGTGTGGGCTGACCTCCTTTGGGGGCAGGAGTGTCCCTTGTTCTTTGTCCTCAGCACTCAAGACAACCATCAATAAATTCTGGGCTGTGCAGCAGATGGGGAGGCCTGGTGGCTGGCTGGTATTTGAAAAATGGGAAGCTTGAGTTCACCCAGAAGTACCTCAGAAGAAAGGTCTGGCAATCAACTTTGAAAATTCAGCCACTGAAAACCTTGTGGAGCACAGTTCTGCTCTGACATACACGGAGTTGGGGGGTCAAGTGATGTGTCCAGTCTCACCCTAAGATGACAATTCAGAGTCCACAGGCGAACAGAATTCACACATCTGATTTGTCCTGTGCATTGTAGGGATGGGCCCAGAGGTCGGCCTGCCCACTCCTTGCTTGTAGACAAGGAAGTTGAGGTCCAGGGAAAGGAAGTGGGTCCCCCACCCTGACCTGCTGTTGCAGAGTTGGGCTTGAAGTAGCACCCTCGATTTCACTCGGTCCTTCCCCCCCACACACACACCCTGAAGTCACTCCTTGTCGGGTGCTGCTCAGTGTCGGACATTGTGACCAGCAGGGACAAGATAGTGGTCTTCTCTAGTGGCCTGTGTTAGGAGGGGAAACTCCTTGTTCAACAAGCCTGCCTAAGTGCAATATGTGTAAAAATGGGAAGTGTGCGGCTGTGGAAGCATTAGTTGTGGGAAGGCCCTGGGGAAGTGACTTTTAAAGCTTGTACCGGGCCTTGCGAGTCGGGGTGGGAACAGTGTTCCTGGAAGAGGGAAGAGCATGTGTGAAGATTTGGGAAGATGAACTGAATGTCAAGCAGTACAGGTGGTGTTTAGAGGGGAGCTGGTTCTGGGTGAGGCAGAGAGGTGGAAGAGGACCTGTGTGCCAAGGGGAAGGGTGGCCCATGCCAGGATACCCAGCAGCCACTGCAGGGCTTTAGTGGTATGTGGGTGTGTAAACCCAAAACCCCAAATCCACTGCCATCAAGTCGATTCTGACTCATAGTGACCCTGTATAGGGTTTCTGAGGAGCGGTTTGGTGAATTAGAGCCGCCGACCTTGCAGTTCAAACCAATCTTGCTGCCCAGTGCATTATCCTACAGCACCATACCAGGACTCGAGGATGTAAGTCCTAACAGAAATGGGCAGCTTCATCTTTCTCCCAAGGAGCTGCTGGTGAGCTAACTTACAGCACCACTGGTATGTGGGGACGTAAACCTTTGGATTTCCATCCCCCAGTCTTGCAGGTTGTTCATGCCCCGTCTACATCCTATGTAGAGATACAGACAGGCTCCAGAATCGGCAGTCCTTCTCTGAAACCCCATCCCTGCGCCCTTTGAAAATTGGCGTCCCTAAGTCTGTAACATGCCCAGAGATTCCTTCAGGGCCACAAAAGCCACCCTTCCCTGAACTACTGGGATGCTGAGGATGCTAGGAAGATGGAGGCATCTGCGCACCTGGCTGTCCTGAGCCCGTGCTACACCTATATGTGTAGAGAGGCATGGGGGAGGTGGAGCAGCTCACTGAGGTCCCTGGCTCATTGGAGACAGAGCTGGGACTCAAAACCCTGGTCTCTGATTCCAGGGCCCTTGTATTCTCTGGTGGGGAACGAAAAACAGGGAGGGAATAGTAAGCTTAATTTATAAAAGGGGTTGGTGGGGGGAGGATGTCGGCATGGAGAGTCTGATTTATCACAGGGGTCCCACAGGGAGGGGTGGGGTGGTTTCTCCATCTCTCCCTGCCAGCTAAGGCCATTGTGCAAATCTCACTTGTACCTCAGTTATCTGAACTGGAACCTGGTTTTGTTTATTTTACTTGGATTCTTCACCTAGTTCTCTCTATGCCACTTTCTGCTGTTGTTGTTGTTGGGTGCCATTGTGTCAGTCCCTGACTCTTGGGGACCCCGTGACCAGCAGAATGAAGCAGTCTCCGAGATCGGCTGAAGATGGGATGGTAGTGACCCACAGATAGGGTCTTCACTTGGCTGAAGTTTGGAAATGGATGGCCAGGTCTTTCTTCCTAGTCTGCTTTAGTCTGGAAGCTCTGCTAAAACCTGTTTGGCATCACAGCAACCAAGAATGAAGGCCCCTCGTGGAGCATTTGCTGGGGTTTTTGAGACATAATTGCTGCATTGTTTTAGAAAAGAGAGTTCATAGAGAAGAAACCATTTCTAGAATAATGTTCTACCATCCAGGAATTGCAAGGGGAGGCAAGACCATGTTGAAAGTGACCACTCAATATGGACAGAGGCAGAGCGGAGTGGGAGGTGTTTCCATCCTAAGTCCTGGCTTCCCTGTCATGGACACAGAGTGTCCAGACCCTCCTACATGCAGGAGCGGTGTCCAGGGCAGGGCACAGGCCAGGGAATATAGTCAGTCACGGAGACGTTTTAATGTTGGTATTCTAAGAGTAAGAAGTCCAAGAGAGCGAACAGGAAAGTGTGTTCATCTTTTCTGGAGGCTGTGGCTACACCCCAAGGTGGACGGGGAAGCACCTGAGAGGAGGGAACACTCATCCTACAAAGTGGAACTGGACGTGCATGTACACTGGGCACTGGGCCAGGCCCTCGGGAAACAGTGGGGAAAAAGACGGAGTAGATGTCCCAACCTCCTGGAGACAGGATGGAGGGAATGAACAACAACACAGAAAACATATAAGCCACTTGTACACAAGAAGCAGGTGGTCAGTGGTTCAGTCCCGGCCAAGACACCTCATGCCCACCCACCACCCGTCCATCAGTGGAGACCTGTGTGTTGCTGTCCGAATCCATCCATTTATTTCCCATCACACTCCACTGAACCTGTGCTCTGTGTGGTAGGGACAAAGGGGATCAATTCGTGAACATCTGTCAAAGCCAAACTGAGAGCAAGGGAGGGGGCAAGCTGACACTACTGTATTAGAACACGTTACGATTACTAGAAAGAAACCAGTAATCGTAATGTGTTCTAATACAGTAGTGTCGGGCATTTTATAGTGTGGGCAGGGTTATTTGAGGAGCGTCTGTGTTATTTGTTGGCGTCCCTGTGTGATACAAAAAGAGTCCAAATAGAGCAGGGGTTATGGTCTCAGCTGCCCCCCAACCACTCTGTGGGAGAAAGATGTGGGGGTCTGCTTCCATAGAGATTTACAGCCTTGGAAACCCTGGGGGAGCAGTTCTGCTTTGTCCCCTAGGGTCACCAAGAGTAGGAATCGACTCAACGGTTTCGGGTCTGGTTGTGGGTTTGGGGAGGTGCAGGTGGTAAATGTTCACCTGCTAATCCAAAGACTGGAGTTTTGACTTCCCCCAGAGATGCCTTGGGAGAGATGCATAGTGATGTGCTTTAGAAAAGCCAGCCAGTCACAGGTAGGCCCTGGAGCTGCCGTGACTTCAGAGTTGGTTCAAGGCCAACTTAACAAGAACCACAAATCAAAAAGCAGCCGCCACAACAGTGATGCCATTTGCTTATGCGTTTTGTCCTGGCCACTGTTCTAAGGGCTTCTCCCTGGGTTCTTTCATTGAATCCT